TGGGTTGGGAGCCAAAGTAGATCGAGAACCGGGGTTGCAGTCCCAGGTTTTCCACCGTGTCCTCGTCCAGAGTGCCCCCCAAGGCCAGTAGCGTAAATGAGGAAGACGGCGTTGTCGCCAGGAATGTCTGAGTAAGCACTGGGGAGGATGGTAGGAGATGGTGAGGTAGCCTCTTTCCTCCACCAGCTCACCAGGTTTGTCAGGGTTTAGCCACATGAATAGAAGGCAGCCGCTGGGGTCCTTTCTCTTGACTCTCCTCTGCCTGCAGGAAGAACCTAAACTGTTCATTACTTTCAAGGCCTCCCACAGTCTGCCTTGTCTAGCCCACTACCGTCTCGATGGTGGTGGTGTTGGTGATGATGATGATGGGGAAACCATGAGGAAGGCTGGTCTTTAGCAGCTGCATGTTGTATGCTAGGCATTGTTCTCAGCCTAGGAGAAGGTACGGTTCATCACCTTCATTTAAAATTGTTTTAACGTTTATTTTTGAGAGAGAGACAGAGAGCAAGCAGGGGAGGGGCAGAGAGAGAGGGAGACACAGAATCCGAAGCAGGCTCCAGGCTCTGAGCCATCAGCACAGAGCCCGACGCGGGGCTCGAACTCACAGACCCGAGATCATGACCTGAGCTGAAGTCGGACGCTTAACTGACTGAACCACCCAGCGCCCCCATCATCTTCATTTAAGAAACAAGGAACAGAGAAGTTAACATACTGGCTCAGGGCTGCACTGGGTGTAGCAGGGTCTGGATTTGAGCCCAGGCAGTTTGCTTCCACAGCCTGACCTCCTGACCGCCATGATGTGGTACTTCCCACACTCTTGTCACTTTGGGTATCTGGTCTGTACCTCTGTGCTGTGGGCCTTGCTTACAACTCCCCACTACTGGGACTTTGTTCAAACCACTCCCTTTGCTAGCAGGCTTTCACTGTCTCTTCCCTTCTAGAAAGCTTCTAGGAAGCTTTCTTTGTTCACCCCAGGTGGAAGCAAAACTGTTTGGTTTTTTATTCTGGGTTGTTCGTAGCTTGCACATGACAATTACGTCCGGCCTTGTGAAGGACATTCTGCCAGGGTGGACAGAACAGACCCTTTGGAGCCAGACAGACTTGAGTTCAAATCTCAGCTTTATGGTTCTCTTATCCCTTTCATGGTCAGATTTCCTCTGTGAGGGAATACTACCTGCCTCACGGAGTTATTTCTGAGGATTAAATGAGATTATTTCAAGTGTCTGTATCCTGCCTGACCAATCTTGGGAGCTCAGGAGGTGACAGCAGTGATTTCTCGTGAGCATATTTTATTTCTTGAGAGCATAAACTCCTGGAAGATGGGGGCCTCGTCTCGTCCCGGCCTTCCAAACTAGGCCGGGGCCATACACGTAGTGCCCAGTCAGGATTTGAGGGCAATACTGCTAGTTTTGTGTGGTTTGGATCTTATGCTGGGGCTCGCTTCCATTCTGTGTCTGACTCTGTCTGACCCGCATAGTAGGGACCTGGAGGGAGAGGTATCTCTGAGCTTGGAAGGGAAGTCTTCCAGGAGGAAGGGGTATTGGAGGGGTATTCTATATTGGAAGGATTCATAGTTGATGGGGAGAGGTATTTTGGGAGCCGTAATGGGCATGCGGGGTCGAGTTAGCATGGTGAACCAGGCTGTCCGGTAAAATGGAACATTTTTCCTCCTAAGTAGCCCTGGGATCTGCCCTCCACGTAGCGCCTTAGCTGCTTCCTATCTTCGTACAGCAGTCCTTTCCTGCCTCAAATATCTGTCTGTCATTACCTCCTCTAAATTTGCCCCGATGGTCCAGGCTGGGTCATGTTCATTTCTTCTGTGCGCCCTCCCGTGGTATCCTGTGCTGTCCCTTGTCACAGCTCAGTAGTGTAATTGTCTTTTGGGTCTCTTGTCCCCACTCAGCTGTGAACTCATTGAGGGTCGGATGGCCCCTCAGTCATCTCTGTATCCTCAGTGTCCAGCACGGGCACCGGGGGGGAGAGTGTAAGCACGTTCTACAAATTACTGGTGGACGGAAAGGAAGAAACATTTGGGCCGTGGAGGACATGCCAGGCTATGATATTTGAACCGGGTTCTCTACGACCGATGGACTTTGAGCGAAGGAGTCCTGTTTCAAAAGAGGCCTCTCAAATGGAGGCAGCATACGCGATGGACCGGTGCAGGGAGGAGGGCAGGTCGGCCAGTCCTGCAGGTCCCGCATGATAATTCTCGTGTTCACATGTGGAGCGGGTGACTAGACACGTTTTTATTTGCCAAGGTGAGGCCCCCGCCACGACCCAGCTTTTAGGCGTAGCGGTAAGATTTGCCTGAAAGATGGAAGCGGTGCCTTCATGCCACGCTCCCTAAGCTGTTGGAACAGCCGGACAGATGGTACCTGTCACCTGTGTGGAGCGGTTTCCACCGCAAAGTTCACCGCACCACTCGTAATGACGTCCCTGTGACTCCCACGCTAACCATTTGTCATTTGGTTTTAAAGAACTCTGTTGTGGCTGGGGAATGGGCAGGATACAGTTGTTGAGTCCTTACAGACTCCTCGAAGGACGTCCTGTTTGAAGACAGAAACTCGTGCTTTGGGTGGTCTCAGGACACTTCCTTCTGTGGTCGTGGATTTTATTAAGGAATTGAGGAGAGGCATTTTTTTGTTGTTGTTGTTTTTGGGGTTTTTTTTTTTTTGTTTTTTTGACAGTTACAAGATGAATTTTTGGTCGGAAGTCCCAGCGTGCTTAAAGCCTGCCCCCGACCAGTGGTACCCTGCCCTGTGCGGTTTCCGAGGTGTGTGTCTGTGCTCCTGGAGGGCGATTGCACGGTGAGGCAGGCTGTGATGCTATCGTGTGCTAGGCTGGTACGTGTAGACTGCTGAGCCCCTTGGAGGGCCGGGCTGGGCAGATGGGCCGTCCTCAGGGTTTTAGGGCCATAATCTTACCGGCTGAATGTTGGTAAGCAGCCCTGTGCAGGTGGAAAATGCCGAGTTGTTCTTCTAACAGCACTTGTCGCTGCCCGTTTACGGGGGTCTTGCCGCCCGGGACTGCAAGTCAGCGTCTTGGAAATAGACCTGTCAAATGGATATTTCCCCTCTTGACCAGGAATGTAGAAGACAGAAAGGTGGAACCCGTCCACTGTGGTAGGGGCCTGTCAACCTCTCTCTGTCTTTTGGGGAGCCACAGTGTCACTGCATTTTTGATCATGATGTAACCAAGAGGATCAAGACCTAGTTTTGTGGTTGAGCTAGCTCTGGAGTATCTCTGAATCCTTTGCTTCACTGGAGCATGTATTCAAGTAGGTGATCGAGTGTGAGTTGAGCAGAGTAAGAGGGGTCCCATCACACCTTCTGGATTTGCACCTCTTTTCTGTACAGTGGAAATCCTGCCACTGTTCCGGACGGGGTCAGTGTCAAGGAGCCATCTTTGGGGCCGGGCACCTGGTCTCGGGGGCCTGGCTGGCCCTCTTCCGGTGCCCGCTGATGCCATGCCATGGCAGGTGACTCTCAAGCCCTCAGGACGTCGTGCTGGCTCTCAGTGCCCGTGGCTGTGCTGCTGGGGTGTTGAGGGGGCCCCAAGAGCAACACCAGCCGGCCCCGGGAGCACGCGGTGGGGACCACAAGGCACGAGGCAAACACGCGAGGCTCCGGGTGCTCCTTTCCTCTGCGCTGTGGTGTTCGAGAACTTTCCCTTTTAGGAGTAGTTTTGAAAATGGTATGTGTGGGTGCACTTTAATTATAGTCTCATGTTTCAAGTACGGCCACAGAAGGGTTTGTTTTTTCCTTTAGCCACACGTTAGCTTCTTCAAAGAGCTCATCCCAGGCTGCAATTTCCAGAGTTCTGAAGTATTTTTAACATGAAGTTGTTAGTCTCTTTGAAATCTGGGCTCCCGTGTTTCCTTTCAGACAGCAAACGGGGCCGTGCAGGGGGAGCCGAGCGTCTTCTTCCCAGCTACGTTTCGAGCTTTATTTTGTTGTCTTTCCCCATTTCTTGTAGTCATTCCCCTGCTGCAGGCGCTGGCTTACTCAGCTGCACTCACATACTCCTCTGCCTGCTAATCCCACTTCTGAGAGTCTTTCCTGAGGAAATCATTTAAATGCAGATAAAGCTGTATGTACAAAGATGTGTATTTCCTTTACTTATAAAAGTGCAAAATCAGAGATGACCTAAATGTCAAATAAAGGGACCGGCAGAAACTGGTACATGCATGCCTACAGTGGAATATTATTTTTTTTTTTTTTAATTTTTTTTTCAACGTTTATTTATTTTTGGGACAGAGAGAGACAGAGCATGAACGGGGAGGTGAGAGAGAGGGAGACACAGAATCGAAGTAGGCTCCAGGTTCTGGAGCTTGCTATCAGCCCAGAGCCCGGACAAAGGGGCTCGGAACTCACGGACCGCGAGATCGTGACCTGGCTGAAGTCGGATGCTTAACCGACTGCGCCACCCAGGCGCCCCCTACAGTGGAATATTAATGCAGCCATTAAAACTTACGTTTCTAAAGCAAATTCAGTAAGAAAAATGCTTCTAATAATAAAATTCGAAGGGAAAACAATTAAGCCCCAGTGCAGCGTCACCCAGGCCAAAATGCGTGGAAAAAAAGGATGGAAGGAAGTCCACGGCATGTCTGTTGTAGGTACCTGGAGGACGGTCATGTTCTTTTTCTTGTCTCTGTTACCTGTTTCCTGTAATGAGGATATATTGTGTTGAGAGTTTTAGAGAAGGAAAAAGAGCATGCACCCAGCAGTGCCTTTGTGATCGCTTTTTAGATTCAGGGCTGTCCCGTCCCTCCAGAACTGGTGCCAGAGCAGTGATGAAGGAGGAGCCTGTGGTCTGAACGGGTTCTCGGTCATCCTACTTTAAATACCCGGGATTGTTAGAAAAAGTGTTTAAACAAATGGAACAGGGCCTCTGCGGATGTATGAGTCAGAGATTATTAGGGATCACTTGGGGTTTGTTTGTTTGTTTGTTTGTTTGTTTTTTAATGTTTTCCTTCTTCTTGATGTTCTTTCTGCTTCCAGGGAAATCGGTTGAAGTGGAAATGAGCACCCAGGATGAACCGATGGAGAGGTGAGTGTGTGGCGTTCGGGAAGAAGACAGCGGTTGGTCGGTCTGCTGGGTACACTGTGGCTCCCTCCCGTTCAGTGAGTCCCCTGCCTCTTGTACGTGAAGCGTAAACAGCTGTGAAACTGACGGTGCCCTCGCAAAGCGAGCAGTTTACGCTGTGTTTCCCGCAGCCTTCAGTCAGTCGTTTTAGGTCACTCGTGGCATTTCTCTGTTAGGGTCTGTGACTGGGACGACACGTTCCTTCTGTCGGCCCCTGGGTACCTGCAGGCTAAACGTCACATGCCTCAGCCTGACACTTGAGGCCCTCCTCGGTCTGACCCGTCTTTCTTTCTGTCATGTTCCCCGTGCTGCGGTCTTATCTGACCTGTTGCTGTCCTCCAGCCCGTGCCTGGACACGAGCCGTATGCTCGACTTCTTCCTGTTGTAGTTTGGAAGTCCTTCAGCAGAGTCGGCGTTCGTGGCGATGAACCTGGCTCTCCCCGGCGCCCCCGTCTCTCTACGACTTCCCGGGATCAGCGATTCTTCCTGTAGCACTTGGCACATCGTCACATTGCAGCACTTACCACATGGCGATGTGACGCTTCCTGCATTTACCTTCCCGCTCCCAGAATTCCCCGGAACGGGAAAGCGGCTAGCGTATAACCGGGTGTTGGCGTGTGTCCGCTGCTGCTCTAGGCATTCGTGTTCATTATTTCTGACCCTAGGAGGCAAGCATTATTGTTCCCATTTTAGGGCGAGGAACCTGAGGGTCAGAGTTGCATGCTTGCCTTGAGAAGGCAGAGCTGGAGTTCGAACCTGAGTCTGTCGTACTCCTGAGGTCTTATTACCGCAAATTGCCTTTTTGGGGACAGAGACTGTGTCTCGAATTCCAGCCCCAAGTGTGTAGCGTATAGTTGGAGTTCACAAAACGCTCATGGAATAAATGTATACTTTCTTAGTTTGCCTCGATGGCCCACAGGGAGGGTCAAGGTGTCGTCCTCCTCTGTTTACTGGTTAGAGGTTCTGACTGATGTTAGTGCTATGGGTATTTCCCTCCTCTTTGGAGCAGCGACCCTTTGGGCTTCTGGGGCTAAGATGTCTGGGGTGCAGAACTGTAGATTTTATGGGCATGTTGAAGGCCACATCATCAGAGTGAGCAGGTGGGGAGGCATCACCGCTCACCGGAGGATGTTTTAATCAGAGCTTCTGTGAGTTCAGAAGAAAACTCCTTTCCCACTCTAGTATTTTTGCAGATCCCTCCCGGTTCGACCCTCCGCTCCCATCCTTCTAATAACGGATCACATTGCAGTGGCGGGCTGTGGAGAGGGCAAGCAAGGCCTCCAGGGTGGAGGCTGTCGTAACTGAGAGCTAAAGGATGAGGCCAGGGGCAGGGATTGCCAGAGAGTGTCCGTGTGCGAGGCGAGGGAGACGTGGCCCTGCGAGCTGGTGCCGGGAACGTAAGGGTCAAGGCCAGAGGACAGGCAGGGCCTTGCTGGACTGGTCCTCAGATTCTCTGTTAAGAGCGCAGATTCTGTGCTGCAGGAAGAGGGGAGTCTTTGAAGGAGGGTAAGCTGGGGCCAGGCAAGAGATTTGCTATTGTGAAAGACGCCCGTGGTTACTTGGAGAATGGGCTGCGGGGCGGGGCGGGGGAGGGGTGGG